TCCCGACCCTGAGTGTGACCCCGATCCCGACTCCTGACCCCGAATGTGACCCCGATCCCGACTCCTGGCCCCGAATGTGACCCCGATCCCGCTCCCGACCCCGAACGTGACCCCGATCCCGCTCCCGATCCCGAATGTGACCCCGATCCCAATCCTGACCCTGAATGTGACCCCGATCTCGCTCCTGACCCCGAATGTGACCCCAATCCCACTCCTGACCCTGAATGTGACCCTGCTCCTGACCCCAAATGTGACCCTGCTCCTGACCCTGAATGTGACCCCAACCCTGCTCCTGACCCCGAATCTGACCCCGATCCCGCTCCTGACCCCGAATGTGACCCCAATCCCAATCCTGACCCTGAATGTGACCCCAATCCCAATCCTGACCCCAAATGCGACCCCAATTCTGCTCCTGATCCCGAATGTGACCCCAATCCCACTCCTGACCCCGAATGTGACCCCAATCCCAATCCTGACCCCGAACATGACCCCGATCCCAATCCCGCCCCTCTCCCGCCGCAGGAGCACGCGCTGGCGCTGACGGAGCTGCCGGGGACGGTGCCCGGGGCCGAGGCGGCCGTGAAGCGCCTGGAGGAGGCGCTGGTGGCCATGGAGGCGGGGGCCGAGCGTGTCCGGGCGCTCTCCGACACCGGCCGGAGGCTCCTGGGCGAGGGCGGCGTCCACGCCGAGAAGGTGCGGGAGACGGTGGAGTCGGTGGAGAGCAGGTGAGGGGAGCCCAGCTCTGCCCTCCCAGTCCTTCCCAGTCCATCCCACCCCATCCCACTCCATCCTTGTCCTTCCCAGTCCTTCCCAGTCCATCCCACTCCATCCTTGTCCTTCCCAGTCCTTCCCAGTCCTTCCCACCCCATCCTCGTCCTTCCCAGTCCTTCCCACCCCGTCCCAGTCCATCCCATCCATCCCATCCCATTGCATTCCTTTCAGCCCATCCCACCCATCCTACTCCAGTTCCCATCCCCATCCCATCCCATCCCATCCCATCCATCCCAGCACTGGGAATCCGGTCTCTCACCCCCCGGCCCCGGCACAGGCACCAGAAGAACCGGGAATCGGCCCAGGAGCTGCTGGGGCGGCTGCGGGACAACTGGGAGCTGCAGAAGTTCCTGCAGGATGCGCAGGAGGTGGGACAGGGATCGGGATCGGGGTCAGGATCGGGATCGGGATGGGGTGGGGATGAGGATGGGGACAGGATTAGGATGGGATGCAGCTGAGAACGGGGATGGGGTGGATTGGGATGGGATGGGATGGATTGGGATGGCATGGGGCGGGATGGGGATGAGGAAAGGATGGGACAGGACAGGACAGGGTCCAGATCCATCCTCCCATCCCATTCCCATTCCCGTTCCCGTTCCCAGCTGACCCTGTGGCTCAACGAGAAGCTGCCGGTGGCGCGGGACGTGTCCTACGAGGGCACGAGGGACCTGCAGGGCAAGTGGCAGAAGCACCAGGCCTTCGTGGCCGAGCTGGCGGCCAACCGGGGCTGGCTGGAGGCCCTGGAGAAGGTGGGAATGGGGGAAAGGGGGATCTGGGAATGGGGAGGATTCCATGGGTCCAACCTTGGGATTTATGGGACAACCTCGACAGCTCCACGATTCTGGGGGGTTTGTGGGGTTTTTGGGTCCAGCCCTGATGATCCTGAGGTTCTGGGGCTCCAACCTTAACCGTTCCATAAATCTTTGGGTCCAGCCTCGATGGTTCCACGGGCTCAGCCTCAATGATCCCACAGTTCCTTGGCTCCAGGGTGCCAAGTGTAGGAGTACACCTGGGGTGTCTCTCTGACCCCATGTCCCGTGTCCCTGTGTTCCTCTGACCCTGTATCCCTGTATTCTTGTATCCCCATATCCCCATGTCCCTGTATCCCTGTGTCCCACAGGATGGGCAGCAGCTGGCAGGGTCCCATCCATCCATCTCAGGGCAGGTGACAGCCCTGCTGGGGGCCCTGCGGGTGCTGTGGGAAGCCATGGTGCCCATATCCCTGTATCCCTGTGTCCCTGTGTCCCCATATCCCTGTGTCCCACAGGATGGGCAGCAGCTGGCAGGGTCCCGTCCGTCCCTCTCAGGGCAGGTGACAGCCCCGCTGGGGGCCCTGCGGGCGCTCTGGGCGCAGGTGGAGGCCATGGTGCCCCATATCCCTGTGTCCCTGTATCCCTGTGTTCCTATATCCCTGTGTCCCTGTGTCCCTGTGTCCCACAGGATGGGCAGCAGCTGGCAGGGTCCCGTCCGTCCCTCTCGGGGCAGGTGACAGCCCCGCGACCCTGGGCGGGCGCTCTGGGCGCAGGTGGAGGCGGCGGCCGGGGCCAAGGGCCGGGGGCTGGCGGAGGCGGCGCGGGCCGAGCGCTGTGCCCAGACCTGCGCCGGGCTCCGCTCGTGGCTCTCGGGGGTCCGGGCCCAGCTCCGCTCCGGCCACTGCGGCCAGGACCTGACCAGCGTGGGGGTCCTGCTGACCCGGCACCAGGTGAGGCCACGGGGGGCACAGGGAGGGCATGGGGGGCACCAGGTGAGGGCACAGGGGGCACGGGGAGGGCATGGGGGGCACAGGGAGGGCATGGGGGCACAGGGAGGGCATGGGGAGGGCATGGGGGGCACAGGGAGGGCACGGGGAGGGCACGGGGGGCACAGGGAGGGCTGTGGAGGGGAAAGGGAGGCAGGGCTTGGGGGGCAAGGTTTGGGGTGTAGGTTTGGGGTGCAGGGAAGAGGTGCAGGTTTGAGGTGTAGGTTTGGGGTGTCAGTTGGGGTGCAGGTTTGGGGTGCAGTTGGGGTGCAGGTTTGGGGTGTCAGTTGGGGTGCAGGTTTGAGGTGTAGGTTTGGGGTGTCAGTTGGGGTGCAGGTTTGGGGTGCAGTGATGAGGTGCAGGTTTGGGGTGCAGGGATGAGGTGCAGGTTTGGGCTGCAGGGATGAGGGTGCAGGGATGAGGTGCAGGTTTGTGGTGCAGGGATGAGGTGCAGGTTTGGGCTGCAGGGATGAGGGTGCAGGGATGAGGTGCAGGTTTGGGGTGCAGGGATGAGGTGCAGGTTTGGGGTGCAGGGATGAGGTGCAGGTTGGGGGTGCAGGTTTGGGATGTCAGTTGGGATGCAGGGATGAGGTGCAGGTTTGGGATGCAGGGATGAGGTGCAGGTTCAGGGTGCAGGTTTGGGGTGCAGGGATGAGGTGCAGGTTCAGGGTGCAGGTTCAGGGTGCAGGGATGAGGTGCAGGTTTGGGGTGTCAGTTGGGATGCAGGTTCAGGGTGCAGAGATAAGGTGCAGGTTTGGGGTGTCAGTTGGGGTGCAGGTTCAAGGTGCAGGTTCAGGGTGCAGGGATGAGGTGCAGGTTTGGGGTGCAGGTTTGTGGTGCAGGGATGAGGTGCAGGTTCGGGGTGCAGGGATTGGGTTGCAGGTTTGGGATGCAGGGATGAGGTGCAGGTTCAGGGTGCAGGTTTGGGATGCAGGGATGAGGTGCAGGTTCAGGGTGCAGGTTTGGGATGCAGGGATGAGGTGCAGGTTCAGGGTGCAGGTTTGTGATGCAGGGATGAGGTGCAGGTTCAGGGTGCAGGGATTGGGTTGCAGGTTTGGGGTGCAGGTTCAGGGTGCAGGTTCAGGGTGCAGGTTTGGGATGCAGGGATGAGGTGCAGGTTCAGGGTGCAGGTTCAGGGTGCAGGGATGAGGTGCAGGTTCAGGGTGCAGGTTCAGGGTGCAGGGATGAGGTGCAGGTTCAGGGTGCAGGTTTGTGGTGCAGGGATGAGGTGCAGATTCGGGGTGCAGGTTTGGGGTGCAGGGATGAGGTGCAGGTTCAGGGTGCAGGTTCAGGGTGCAGGGATGAGGTGCAGGTTCAGGGGTCCCCCAGATGTCCCCGACCCCCCCTGTCCCCCCCAGCTGCTGGAGACGCAGGCGGCGCTGCGGGAGCAGGAGGTGGAGGCGCTGCGAGCCCAGGCCGGGGGGCTCAGCCCGGGGCAGCCCCGCACCGGGGCGGTGCAGGCGCAGGTGCAGGACCTGGAGCGGCAGTTCCGGGGAGCTGCGAGGCCGCTGCGGGAGCGCGGCAGGAGCCTCGCGGCCACCAAGGAGCTGCTCCAGTTCCGCAGGGACCTGGAGGACGAGCTCGTGAGTGGGGGTCTGGCACTGACCCCTGGGGTCCTGAGCCCCCACCCTGACCTCCCACCCCTGAGCCCCCACCCCCAAGCCGTCGGTGGGTCGCTGTCCCCAGCCCCAGCCCCGGCCACCTTGATGTCCCCGTGACTGTGGGGTCCCCACACGTGTCCCCCAGCTGCATGCCAGGGCCTGGCCTGACCCCCAGTGACCTCCAATGACCTCCAGTGGTCTCCAATGACCCTAGGTGACCCCAATGACCCCCAGTGATCTCAATGACCCCAGCGTGACCCCAGTGACCCCAGTGGTCTCCAACGACCCCTGGTGCCCCGGTGACCCCACTGCCCCCAGTGTCCCCCAGCTGTGGGTGCAGGAGCGCCAGGCCTTGGCCACCTCCGCGGACCACGGAAGGACCTGCCCCTGGTGCAGCTGCTGCTCCAGAAGAGCGAGGTGGGCTGGGGGGTCCCCAGATCCCAGGGGGCCCTCCCATGGCCCCCCAGTGCATTCCCTGTCCCCCCCTGACCCTACTGTCCCCCTGACCCCATTGCTTCCCCCTGACCCCGCTGTGCCCCCGCAGACGCTGCAGAAGGAGCTGCAGGGCCGCGAGCGCCGCGTGGCCGAGCTGCTGGAGCGGGGTCCCAGCGGCCGGGGTCCCCGGGGAGGGGGTCCCCCGTCGGGGGCGGCCCGGGGGGTCCCGGCCCTGCGCGAGGCGTGGCGGGAGCTGCGGGCGCAGGTGACGCGCGGCAGCGGCGCCTCGAGGCCGCCTTGGCCGCCCAGCGCTTCTCGGGGACGCGGCGGCCGCCGAGGCCTTGGCTGGGCGAGCGGGAGCTGCACGTGCTGGCCCAGGACAAGGCCAAGGTGGGACAGAACCCCGGGACCCCCCTTCCAGCCCCCTGGGACCCACCCCTCGGGCTGAGCCTGTGCCTCCAGGGCGAGCCGGGCGCCCAGGCCATGCTGAGCCGGCACCTGGGGCTGGAGCAGGAGCTGCGCGACTACGGCCGCACCGTGGAGCTGCTGCTGCAGCAGGGCCGGGACATGGCGGCCTCGGGACACCCCGACAGGTGGGGACACCCGGGGGATACCCCCGGGCCTGTCCTGTCAGCCCCGGAATTCCCCTGCGTCCCCCTCTGTGCCCCCATCCGTCACCCCTCGAGGTCTCTGCATCCTTGGGCATTTCCCATCCCCGTGTCCCTCTGTCCGTCACCCCTCGGGGGCTGCGTGTCCCCCCCGGGTGACCCTGCCATGCCCATGTCCCCCCTGGGTGACGCTGCCCTTCCAATGTCCCCTGGGTGACCCTGCCTGCCCGTGTCCCCCCTGGGTGACACTGCCATGCCCATGTCCCCTGGGTGACACTGCCCTTCCCGTGTCCCCCCCGGGTGACGCTGCCGTGCCCGTGTCCCCTGCGTGACGCTGTCGTGCCCGTGTCCCCCGGGTGACGCTGCCCTTCCCATGTCCCCCCTGGGTGACGCTGCCCTTCCAATGTCCCCTGGGTGACCCTGCCTGCCCGTGTCCCCCCTGGGTGACACTGCCCTGCCCGTGTCCCCCCTGGGTGACGTTGCCCTACTCGTGTCCCCTGGGTGACCCTGCCATGCCCGTGTCCCCCCTGGGTGACACTGCTGTGCCCGTGTCCCCCGTGTGACACTGCCCTGTCTGTGTCCCCTGGGTGACACTGCCTGCCCATGTCCCCCCTGGGTGACGCTGCCATTCCCGTGTCCCCTGGGTGACTCTGCCGTGCCCGTGTCCCCCGAGTGACGCTGCCCTTCCCATGTCCCCTGGGTGACGCTGCCCTGCCCGTGTCCTGTGGGTGACACTGCCATGCCCGTGTCCCCTGGGTGACACTGCCCTTCCCGTGTCCCCCCTGGGTGACGCTGCCCTGCCCATGTCCCCCGGGTGACACTGCCATATCCATGTCCCCCTTGGTGATGCTGCCCTTCCCATGTCCCCTGGGTGACCCTACCATGCCCATGTCCCCTGGGTGACCCTACCATGCCCGTTTTCCCCCCGGTGACAGCGACAGGCTCCGTGCCCGGGCGGCCCAGGTGCAGCGCCTGTACACGGGGCTGTGCCACCTGGCCGGGGAGCGCCGGGCCGCCCTGCAGGGCCACCACCGGCTGTGCCAGCTGCGCCGGGACATGGACGACCTGGAGCAGTGGATCGCCGAGAGGGAGGTGGTGGCGGCGTCGCGGGAGCTGGGCCAGGACTACGAGCACGTCACGGTGAGGGGACAGGGGGACGGTGACCTGAGAGGGGGCAGGGGGATGGTGACACTGTGGGTGTCCCCTGTGTCCCCTGTCCCCTGTAAACCCCTGTCCCCTGTTCCCCCCTGACCCCAGGCTGTCCCCCTGTCCCCCTGACCACAGCCTGTCCCCTGTCCCCTGTGTCACCTGTGTCCCCTGTCCCCCTGACCACAGCCTGTCCCCTGTCCCCCCTACCATGGCCTGTCCCCTGTCCCCCCTGACTGTGCCTGTCCCCTGTCCCCCGTGCCCCCTGACCGTGCCTGTCCCCCGTCCCCCCTGACTGTGCCTGTCCCCTGTCCCCTCTCCCCCCTGACCGTGCCTGTCCCCGCAGCTGCTGCGTGACAAGTTCCGGGAGTTCTCCCGGGACACGGGCGGGCTGGGGCAGGAGCGGGTGGACGCGGCCAACGCGGCGGCGGCGGCGCTGATCGCCGGGGCCACCCGAGCGCGCGCGGCGGTGGCGCAGTGGCAGGCGGGGCTCAACGAGGCCTGGGCCGAGCTGCTGGAGCTCGTGGCCACGCGGGCGCAGGAGCTGGCGGCCGCCCACGACCTGCAGCGGTTCCGGCGCGACGCGCGCCAGGTCCTGGAGCACCTGAGGGACAAGGAGCGCCAGGTGCCCGAGGAGCTGGGCCGGGACCTGCGCGCCGCGGAGGGGCTGGAGCGGCAGCACCGCGCCTTCGAGCACGGCGTGCAGGCCCTCAGTGCCCAGGTGAGGGATGGGGGGACAGGGGGACAGGGAGACAGGGGGACGGAGGGACAGGGGGGACAGGGGACAGGGGAGGGGCACAGGGACAGGGAGGGACAAGGGGGACAGGGAGGGACAGGGAGGGACAGGGGGGACAGGGACCTGGGGCTGGGATGGTGTCACTGCCTTCGAGCACGACGTGCAGGCCCTCAGCGCCCAGGTGAGGGACAGGCAGGACGGGTGGGGACAGGAAAGGACCCGTGGGGACAGGGGAGGGAGGCTGTTCGGTGGGGCACTGAGCAGGATGTGTCCCATGTCCCCTGTCCCTGTCCCAGGTGTCCCACGTGCAGGAGGCCGCAACCTGTTTGTCCAATGTCCCCTGTCCCATATCCCATATCCCATGTCCCCTATCCCAGGTGTCCCAGGTTCAGGAGGCCGCAGCCTGTCCCATATCCCATATTCCCTATGCCATATCCCATATTCCCTATCCCAGGTGTCCCAGGTTCAGGAGGCCGCAGCCCGCCTGGCCGGGGCGTACGCGGGCCCGCGGGCGGAGGAGCCGCGGGCGCAGGAGCGCTTGGTAGCGCGGCCTGGGCCGAGGCTCCGCGAGCGCCGCCAGCGCAGCGCCTCCTCGGGGACACCGTGGAGCAGTTCCGGTTCCTCCGCGCCGCCCGCGACCTCCGGCTCTGGATGGACGGGATGCACCTGCAGCTCCAGGCCCGGGAGCGCCCCAGGTGAGCGGGGACAGCTCGGGGACAGCTCGGGGACAATTTGGGGACACCACCAGGACAGCTCGGGGACAGCTTGGGGACAGTTTGGGGACAGCTCGGGGACAGTTCAGGGACAGCTCGGGGACAGCTTGGGGACAGCACCGGGACACCTTGGGAACACCAGGGGGACAGCTCGGGGACAGCTTGGGGACAGCTCGGGGACAGCTCAGGGACAGTTTGGGGACAGCACAGGGACAGCTCGGGGACAGCACAGGGACAGCACAGGGACAGCTTGGGGACACCAGGGGGACAGCACAGGGACAGCCCGGGGACATCACGGGGACAGCTCAGGGACAGTTTGGGGACAGCATGGGGACAGCTCGGGGACACCAGGGGGTCAGCACGGGGACAGCTCGGGGACACCGCAGTGACCCCAGCACAGGGGTGTGACCCTGGCCAAGGTGGAGGTGCAGGTCGGGGTCATGTGGGGTCAAGGGGTCTCACGGGGTCACACCACAGTGGCACCATCCCTGTCCCTGTCCCTGTCCCTGTCCCTGTCCCTGTTCCTGTCCCTGTCCCAGGGATGTCACAGCGGCCGAGCTGCTGATCCAGCAGCACCAGGGGCTCTGGGGGGGGTTGGTGAGGGCTGGGGTCACTCAGGGTCACTCAGGGTCACTCAGGGTGACCCCCCATGTCCCTGTCCCAGGGATGTCACAGCAGCCGAGCTGCTGATCCAGCAGCACCAGGGGCTCTGGGGGGGTGGTTCTCAGGGCTGGGGTCACTCAGGGTCACTCAGGGTCACTCAGGGTGACCCCTGTCCCTGTCCCAGGGATGTCACCGCGGCCGAGCTGCTGATCCAGCAGCACCAGGGGCTCCGGGCGCGAGCTGGACGCGCATGCGGCTCCTTCGAGTCGTGCGTGGCCGCGGGGACGGCGCTGCTGGAGCGCGCGGCCACCACGAGCCCGACAAGGTACCCCCGGACACCCTGTGCCCTCTGTCCCTCTGTGCCCCCTGTGCCCTCAGTCCCCCCCCGGTCCCCCTGACCCCGGTTCCCCCAGCTGTCCCAGGAACTCAGTCGAGCTCCAGGAGCGGCGCCGGGACATCGGGAAGCGCTGGCAGGACAAGCTGGAGTGGCTGCAGACCGGTGAGATATGGGGGACCCTGCACCCTGGGGACCCTGGGACCCCCCAAAATCACCCCTGTCCCCCTGGGACCCCCTGGGACCCCCCATAACCACCCCTGTCCCCCTGGGATCCCCTGGGATCCCCCAGTGCCGGAGGTGCTGGTGTTTGGACGGGGGTGCAGACTGGGGGTCTCCGTGCCCCAAGTGGCAGATGGGGGTCAGGGGTCACAGATGGGGGTCAGGGGTGACACATGGAGGGTCAGGGGTCACAGATGGGGGTCAGGGGTGACCCATGGAGTGTCCCCTCCCCGTGTGACCCCCCGTCCCCACAGTGCTGGAGGTGCTCAGGTGTTCGGATGGGGGTGCAGACTGGGGTCTCTGTGCCCCGAGGGGGGTCACGGGATGACACATGGAGGGTCAGGGTGGCAGATGGGGGGTCAGGGGGTGGCAGATGGGGTCAGGGGTGACACATGGGGGGTCAGGGGTGACCCATGGAGTGTCCCCTCCCCGGTGACCTCCCGTCCCTGCAGTGCTGGAGGTGCTGGTGTTTGGATGGGGGTGCAGACTGGGGGTCTCTGTGCCCCGAGGGGGGGTCAGGGGTGACAGATGGGGGTCGGGGGTGGCAGATGGGGGTCAGGGGTCACAGATGGAGTGTCCTCCCGGTGACTCCAGTCCCGCAGTGCTGGAGGTGCTGGTGTTTGGATGGGGTGCAGACTGGGGTCTCTGTGCCCCGAGGGGGGGTCAGGGATGACACATGGAGGGTCAGGGGTCACAGATGGGGGGGCAGGGGTCACAGATAGGGGTCAGGGGTCACAGATTGAGTGTCCCCTCCCCGTGTGACCCCCCATCCCCGCAGTGCTGGAGGTGCTGGTGTTCGCCAGCGATGCCGCTCACCGGCCGAGGCCTGGCTGGCGGTCCCGGGAGCTCCCTGGCCCGCGCCCCCGAGCTGGGCTCCCAGCCTGGCCGAGGCCGAGACCCTCCTCAAGCGCCACCAGAGCTTCCAGAAGGCGGCGGCCGCCTGGGAAGAGAGATTCGCTGCCCTGGGGAGGCTCACCACGGTCAGGGGACATGGGGGCTCACCACGGTCAGGGGGCACGAGGGGACATGGGGGCTCACCACGGTCAGGGGGCTCACCATGGTCAGGGGGCACAGAGGCATGGGGGCTCACCACGGTCAGGGGGCATGGGGGACATGGGGGCTCACCACGGTCAGGGGGACATGGGGGACATGGGGGCTCATCACAGTCGAGGGGGCATGGGGGGACATGGGGGCTCACCACGGTCAGGGGGCACTGAGGGGACATGGGGGCTCATCACGGTCAGGGGGCTCACCACGGTCAGGGGGCATGGGGGACACAGGGCTGCAGGGGAAGGGGGCAGGGGGCACACGGGTGACATGGGGAGGGGGACAGGTGGGGACACGGGGAGAGGAGAAGGGGGAGGGGTCTCTATGACACTGAGGGGACACGGGGCAGGGAGAGCGACATGGGGGCTCAGGTCACCTCAGGGCCAGGTCACTCCCATTCCAGGGAGTCCCCAGGGCCCTCAGTGCTGGGGGTCCCCATGTCACCTCCAGGGCGTTCCTGTGTCCCTTTAACACTGGGGGTCCTCTGGATCTGGGGTGTCCCTGAGCCCCCTGTGCCCCCCTGGATTGGGGTGTCCCTGAACCCCCTGACCCCCTGGATCTGGGGTGTCCCTGAGCCCCCCTGTGCCCCCCTGGATTTGGGGTGTCCCTGAACCCCCCGTGCCCCCTGGATTTGGGGTGTCCTCGAGCCCCCACGATCCCCGACCCTCTGGATCTGGGGTGTCCCTGAGCCCCCCTGGATTTAGGGGTCCCTGAGCCCCCGACTCTCGGATTTTGGGTGTCCCTGAACCCCTGTGCCCCCTGGATTTGGGGTGTCCCTGAGCCCCCTCAGCCCCCTGGATTTGGGGTGTCCCTGAGCCCCTGTGCCCCCTGGATTTGGGGTGTCCCTGAGCCCCCTGTGCCCCCCTGATTTGGGGTGTCCCTGAGCCCTCCCCTGTGCCCCCTGTGTCCCCCTGGATCTGGGGTGTCCCTGAGCCCCCGACCCCCTGGATCTGGGGTGTCCCTGAGCCCCCTCTGACCCTCTCTGGATTTGGGGTGTCTCCGAGCCCCCCGGCCCCTGGATTTGGGGTGTCCCTGAGTCCCCTGGCCCCCAACCCCTGGATCTGAGGTGTCCCTGATCCCCCTTGGCCTCTGTGCCCCCCAGCTGGAGGAGAAGGAGCGGCGCCGGCGGGAGGAGGGAGGAGGAGGAGCTGAGGAAGCAGCAGCAGCCGCCCCCATGGCCCCCCTGGCAGAGGCTGAGTCTGGGGGGCCCCCTGGGCAGAGACCCCCCAAGAGCCAGGACGGAGAGGGGTGGGAGGCACCGAGGTGAGGGGAGGGAGTGGTGGGGGTTGGGGAGGGGACAGTGAGGTTTGGGAGGGTTTGGGGGCACATCCAGGTCTGGGGGACAGGGAGGGGATGATCAGGGTCTGGGGGGAATTGAGGGGGACCTGAGGGCAACACTGAGGTTTTGGGAGGGTTTGAAAGGGGGTCCTGGGGGCCCCTGAGGATTTGGGGTGGGGA